TAATCATAGACTGACTTTCAGAGCTACTTAGCAACTGCAGCTTTTTGTCTTGAACCTATGCTCAGAGCCTCTGAAAATTGCAATTAATAACAGGTATTTAGAGGGATTATTAAAAGTGCAGATTTACATCTTTTACCAGGAATCCAGCTAGCTCAGTTATTTTAGTGACTAAAATCATAGACTAACTCCAGTATCATTATGTATATATTTAATACAGTCCTATGAAAATCAAACACGAAGAAAATGTATCTGGACCTGAAATTTTTAATCCTTATTTTTACTAAACAAGCTTCTATAAGATTTGAGGTCAGATCTGGTTTTAACATTAAAATAAACTCAACTGTAGTTAACTTGATTCGGATTACTATCAAGATTTTTACTTTAGTGACAAATAGTCTGTGATACAGATCTGCAATTATTTTTAACTCAAGTGAGAAAAGATTTATAAACATGTCACATCTGTTTTTCTTAGTCCATCATTTGCTGCTACAGTTTCAAAAATCAAAATATGACATTAGACAAGACAATGAATTAAACAGACTTACCTATTACTGTGATATTTAGTATATTGCTGGTTTTCAAACCACTGGTGTGATTATTTCTAGCATCACATTTGTATCCTCTTTTGTCATTTTGTCTAATATTTTCATCCAAGAATGTAGCATATGTGTCATTAATGACTATTTTCTTAACTTCATTTCCTTTGTAGAAAGTGAATGTTATTGGTGGTGTTCCCATCACTGAACGACAGATTAACCATAGAGGCTTCCCTAACACCACCTCCGGTAAACCACTGACGATGGAAAGAGTTGGCTTGGAAACTGGAGCTAAAAGGGGAATAAAAGAAAAAATGGTTGCAAATTACACTGCATGAGGCTGAAAGATACAATATTATTTTATAGAAAAAATATAAATAAATATACATTATATAGCTAGCTTGCACACACAGGCTTACATTGGGAAGCTCTTCCTCATTGACAGAAAGGAAGCAGGAGGGGCTTAAACAAAACAAAACCATAGATAACAGAACGTATGTGACTTAGAATAAAACAGCATAAAAGAAGAATGTAAACAAAAAAAGGATGAGTTGACACAGCTGTGGATCATCCAAACTCCAGAACTAGCTCTGACCTAAGGAGTGAGTCTGTAGAGCAAAAACATATGCAAGCACCATTGCATGTATTACCTGAGAAGGATCCTGCAGCACCTAATCAGGGACCTCTGTTTCTGCAGCACAGTGAGTCACAACCCAGTTAATCCCCCTTTACAGACTTGAGAACTGACTGTGCTTGTTCCATGAGAGGGAAGGAAACTAGAGCGTTTATAATTAGCGTGCTGGTGAGGGGGTTGTATTGATAGCAAAAAAACTTGGCTTTTCTGGAGCAGATCTATCCAGATGACCTCTGGCTCTCATGGCTTTCTGCCTGGAGGGTCAGGGGAAGGGATTCAAGGCAGACACTGACAGAGTTTCAGATCAAACTGATGAGTGAAAAGTTTGCAGAACATTCCCAGCTCCTGCAAATGGCAATGAATGAGAGTTTATTTGGCACCTAGCAGAATCAAGGGAACAGAAGAAAGACCTGTTAACCCCCTTCTCCTAGGGCCAGCCCTGGAAAAGCCTGACCTCATTAGATCACAATAGGCCAAATCCTTTACAGCTAAAGATGACAAGCACATCTCACAGAAATTAATACTGCAAGAACTAACAGACACTCTGCTAGTTCATGGACTAGAGACTGAGTCTGTAAACAGATGTGCTTATTTACAAGCTTACAGTTCTGACTTTTCCCCCTCACCACTGAGTTCTAAGTCTCTGTATCAACTCACCATAAACATTTATCCTTAGAGGTTTGCTCTCCTTGACTATTCCTTTTAATTCAGCTTTACAGATATAGGATCCAGTATGATTCACATTAACTCTCATTGTTAAGTTTCTAGAATTTTTCAACCGGATGTCTCCATTTGAATTTTTCCGTAATATAGAGAAGTTGGCTCTCTGAAAATCACCGATGCTGCAATTCAAAGTTAACTCTTTATTTTCATCCAGTTCACTCATAGAAGCAGCCAATATTGGCTTGGGGAATAACTCTGCAAGGTAAAAAAAGAGCAAATTCATTCAAATTGAGCTTAAAAGAATATGTCCACCTATCTCAAAGTATACAGAATGAAGGATATACTGAAAGTTTATTATCAGGGAAAAAATCCATTCATATTATTTTAATACAATAATATTTTCAGGCAAAACAGAAACATAGCAATTACTCAAGACCACTTCTCATATGTGTTATTTGAAAGCATTATTTTCATTGGAATGCATTTGCAGGCAAAAAACATAAATAGCCTTTAACTTAGGTAAAATTTACACTTGGATCCAGAGGTTACACTTGGATCCTGAGTTCTATCAAATTTCAATTTAAATACTGATCCACTGAGTAAAATCTGAGATGAATAAAGGTGTTACCTGACACAACAACATTCAGTTTGGTGGTTTTAGATGCTCTCCCTTGCTCCACCTTACACAGGTATTCACCACTGTCCTCTAGGGTAGCTACCGCTGAGTATTTCAAAAGTTTCTTATCTCGTACACTGTTCAGTATTGTTTTGTTTTTCTGGAGTATGATTTCAATGTCACGCATTCGGGCTACCACAGTCGAGCATTCAAACTGTATTCTGTCTCCTTCTGTAATATTACTTGAGGGCTTGGCATTCAGAGTAGGCTTTATAAATGGTTCTGCAAGAGATTACGTATAGACTCATGACCCAACTTTTGAATTATAGCAAGCAAAGAAATGTAAAAAGAAAAGCTAAGCAACATACCCCTGACTGTAACAAGTGTTTTGTTGCTGTGTTCTGAGCTTTCAAATTCAAATTTTATATTTCTCCTAACAAAGCAATCAAATTGTAAAATATTATCTCCCTCTTCAACAGAAAATTCCGCTACAGAAAAATTCCTGTCTCGTTCAAATACATGTTTTTCTTTAGGTGTTGAATTCATCTTTATCTTTCGGAAAGAGAAATGCAAAGGAGGTACTTCTTCTGGAAGCTCACAACGTAATTTCACAACTTCACCCTCTAAAACTTCTTTTTTCTCAGCAGTCAGAATAGGCTTGGTCATTCCTTAGAAGAGAAAACAAGAAAAGAAACAGAACATTGCATAATCCTGAAATAAATATTGTCTCTGATGACTACAGTAGTGATTTATGCTAATGAACAGATGCAAATAATTTGCAAGAACTGAGTTTTTGAAGACAGTTCCGTTGATGCCTAGGTGCATGCCAAGGCACCTTCAGAAGAGCAAAGTATAATTTAAGAGGGCAATACAATCTTGATGCAATGTGTGAGGTATGAAACTTGCTGTTTTAAAGGTAAGACCGCTTCCTCCTGTTTCCTACCGCCACTCAAAAATGAGCAAGCGAAGAAACTAAATGCCATCCCAACTTCTCTAGCTAGAGGCCTCTGAAGAAAAATTACAGGCCCTGCACAACGCTGCAATTATTTAAAAGCTGAACAAATTCCTTCCAAGTTGCTTTTTCAAGGGGAAAAATGTCACGTGCAGTCAAGAACACATAGAAATAGTATAGATGGAGGTGGCCTCTCTGCTCATAAGAGATGAAAGAACAAGACTGATATAACATTGTCTAAAAAACTAGTCCACAGTTAATACTAGCTTTGGCAATGGCTGTCACAAGGTGAGAGTCCCTATGTATTATTTACAGCTTTTCCACTAAGCTACTCACCCCCCATCATGTTTATGATCAACAGGCACAAGCTTTCACAAGTAATACTTTCTCTAGTTTAGGGAACAGAGGTGCAGGACTGAGGGGATGATGGCACAGGAGGCACAGACTGTATTCCTGACTGTCACTGATCTATCATGTAGCCTTAGGATCGTGATTTCATTTCTGTGCCTTAACATGAGGATTTAGCACTAAACTCTTGTGATGTCTATGGATAAAAAACACTTTGCAAGATATCCTCTCTAGCACTGACTATTATTACTTCCCCTGGAAAGTTGTTCTCTTTTTGTATCTCAGAAAAGTGCCGTGTTTGAAGGAATACTCACCTGTTACCCAAACGTGTACGGAATCACTAGGTTTTGCCTTTCCACCTGCTTCCACAGTACATTTATACTCTCCTGTATCTGAAGATCTAGCCGTAGATATTTCATATCGTGCATCTTCCTTGTCTGATACCGTCATGAACACAAGCTTGCCATCCTTAAAAATTGTAAAGTTATGCTTCAGCTGGAAATCGGCACTTTTGCTAATATCAGCATGGCAGACAATTGACACACGATCTCCATTCTTCACTTTGACAGATGGACGAACCTTGATTTCAACTGTGTTGAAAGTAAACACTTGATGGAAAAAATAAAAGAATTATATTTATTTTCAATTAGTCCAACATAATACTGTTAGCTCAAGCTGCTACATTTTAATCCCAAAAAATAATTAATTGTACCTTAGCAGCAGGCATTATAATTTTTATGGTCAGATCTCACAGAAGTTGACAGTGGCAGCAGCTTTGCCTTCCACTGCACAAATATACTAGAGGCAACTACTGATTTTCACAGCACACACTGTCATCTGCTCAGGCTTTGCCTTGGGGGACTGAGAGAATCATGGAGAAAATCTACTAAATTCTCTAGAAGACACAGAGGACACTGGAATAGGTTTCCAGCTACTTCTTGGTTTTCCTTATTTCTCATGGTTTGCTGTCTTCAAGTCTAATTGGCAGGAGATCCGAGAAGTGAACAAAACGTTGTATTTATACTTGTCTGAATAAACTGAGAAATGACAGGAAAACGCTGCTTAGAGTTGTATAAACCCCAAGCCAATTCATCCCTAGGCAATGAGCACAAATCCTTGGAGTTATCCCAGTATTTTTTATCTGAAAGCAAGGTTAGGGTTATGTCATTTGGTAAATTCCACTTTAAACATGTAACTCACAAGCTTGGGATAATCTTAGTTCTCTAGTTTAGGATAACTAGAGCATAACAGAAGATATTTGAGTTCAAGTTCTGCTGGCAAACGTGTACATGTCTGACTTTATGTTATTGGCAATCATGCTCTCAAGAGTCTTTATCAATCATACCCTGACTAATTCAAATACAGAATCATAGGCAGAAAGAATGCTTTCAATTATTTTGTATAAAAAATAACATTTAAGAAATAAAGTTTATAATAGCATTAATATATATATAGTGCTTTGTGTTTATAACCACAGCAATGATAAATAATTTGTAGCTTAACATTTTATAATTATTAGAACCCTGGTATAATTAACATTTTTATTCACACAGCTAGAGGAACAAGTATAGAGAAAGATTGATGAGCTCATTCACTTTTCCTTCCTTTAGAACTTACAGCTTTTGGGTATGCCCATTTTGGCCAGGGTTTGTATTAGAAATTTGCTACTAGAACAGAAAAACTTTCCCGCATCTATAGAAGTCCCTTGCCACGTACGCTTACCAGCTATTTATAAATTGTCCTTGCTAGAGTGAGTTTTGGGCATAAAACTAATGCAAAAATTGTATTTTTATTTTTTTTTACATCTGAATAGACTACATGACAAGAAGAAGCAAACATTTCTCCCTAGTGAGGGAAAAATGGAAGTATGAAGAGTATATGTGCTGGAAGTCAGCAAAATGATAACGTAAAAGGCAAACGTATTCCTTTCAAAACACCAGTTCTGAACTCTGCTCAGACATTTTATTTTCTTGTGCAAGAAAAAGAGCAAGAGAGAGTGCTCTTAACTTATATTCTATAATTTTAACCCACCTCCTTGCTTGTGGCATGAGGAGGTTTTTAAAGACTAAAACAAAACACTAGTAATTAAATTTCCTCTCCCATCTCTTCTCTTGTATGCCCCAGTAAAGAAAATTATTCTAGGAAAGATTTCACCAAAACATTTGTTAAAGTATGAGCAGCACATGTCTCATTTAAACACTATACTAAGAAACACCACTAAGTAATAGCTTTTTTTTTTTTTTTTACATGTCCAACTAAAGTATAACAAATCCAGATAAATTCTGCTATGGATGAACACCAACAACTAAGGAATTAGTTAAATTACTTATTTTAAATTTGTATGTAGAAAAAACCTTATAATTACTTACCTCTCTCCTGAGTGTAAAGTTCTGAACCTGTAAAAAAAATGAAAAGAAATGTCATTTTCAAAGTTTACAGACTGAGAGGCAGAAATGGGAAACAGTAAAAAGCCCCAACAAACCCCAAACAAACCAGAAACACATGTACCCACCCAGGTATTTAGTTATCAAACTTACACTGCAAGAAAATCACCAGAAGAGCAAGATACATCTCGTTCCTGAAGCACAGACACTTAATTCCAAAATAAAACAATATTCATCATCAGAGGTGATGCCTCCAGGTACCAAAATCTGTTTTTCTGTTGTTGTTTTATGGAAACAGATACAATTTTGCCATTTAAATTTGTATAGTTTTGCCAGATTTTCAACAGAAACTGGCTAGATCAAGTAATTCCCATTACTGGAAACAGCAAACAATGAGAATCTATCTGCTGCTCACAGGCAGATTACTGTTCAGGAAGTGACTGGACTTTTCCTGAGGGCGCCACCAAATGCATTTGCTTTGTTTAATTTCTTAAGGTGTATTAAAAAAACAAGAAGTTCCAATGACATTCATCCTGCAGTTCCTGTCAATACGGGTATTTTTAAGTCACAATCAACCATTTACAAATACAAATTACCTTTGCTATTTGACCTCAGCAGATCCTTGAGCAAATATTTCCCTTCATCCTGACATGGAGAACTCTTTCAGAGAGTACATGTACATAATTATTCGTTTTTCCCCTTCACCTCCATTTCTAGGTCTCTCGTCTTTGCTGTGGCAAAGAGCAGCTTTATTGTAGGATGCACAATAAATCCAAATTATCTTAGAAACCATAGCTACTGTTGTGTTAGACTAGAATATTGACAGGCAGACCTTTCATACTACCATCATATAACAAAAACATGGAACTGCAGGAGATTTAACTGCATGAGATGCTTAATCCCTTAGTTTCTTTCCTTTGTGGACAGGCAAAGTTTTCCTTTACTTCCACCAACATTTTCCAGGCTTGTTAAAACACTGCTTAAAACAATACTAAATACATTCACAGAAGTCTGTAGATGAGACATACAGTTCTCATAATCTTCACTGTTTATATGAAAACCTTTTTTTTTTCCCTCCTCAGGTCAATGAAAACTGTATTTTTATTTTTTTCCCCCCAAAACCAATAGTTTAAAGCTACAAGTGCACTTTAATGCTTGTATTACACAACATAAGCGTGGTATTTTGCAAAAGGAAACAGGAGGGAAACACTCATCTGTTTAACAATGTATGGGTAATATGAACAAGCATCTATCTAGTTGTTTTGCAGGGAGGGAGTACAGAATGGCACAATAGTCACAGCAATTAATGACTAAGAAGCTGGTTAACTAGCAATAGTATTTGTTCTGCTTAATCCAGTTTGTTTGAAACACACCACCAACAAAAGATTGATGTTTTGGCTGGTTGCCAACAATGGTCTCCAGAGCCAGGTAAAGGAAAAGAGGAGGAGGACACATGGCAGGTGGAGAACAAAGGTAGATCAACTTTTGCTATTGGTAACAAAAAATAGGAAGGAAGGAGGTTTTCCCCTTTCCCCATAAAAGAATTCAGAATACAATGTTCAGCAAAACCACACCAGTCTTTCCCACGGCGGGGACAAAGGCTCTCCTTTTAGCTACAGAGAGGGAGGAGAAAGTGAGTGTGGGCCAATATCCTTCCAAGTGAGTCAGTATAGTTGAGTTCAGAACCAGGCTAGTTTCAGAGTCAGGTGGAGAGGACAGTTTTTAGGATGAACTAGGTCAGGAGGAAGGTTTAATGGTGCCAAAACCCAAGGCTGTTGTGAGATGTCACTCCCAAGTGAAGGATGATGAGATCTTCCATAAGATTTCACAGACCGATTAGACGGTCATATTCTTGATAAGCCCCCAACATTGCCCTGGAGAGGAAAATCTAGCTGGTATTGACCAAAATTCAAGATGTAAATTCCGCTGCAGGAATTTAAGACAAATTATCATGAAACTTGTGAGAAAAGCATTTCAAATGCAAAACAATGGCTTGAGATCATCTTCCATTGTTAAAATGGAAAGCAGATTGATTTAAATAATTTAAATTTAAAAGTACCTGTGCCAGTAATACAGCTGCATATTTTCCTAACAGTTACCTTATTGTAATCTCTCAAGATACATTTTTCTGAAATACATAAGATTAGACAAAGTTATTCTAATATATATCACATAAAGAACTCTATTCAGTCCCTACTGTATTTGTGGGAAAAGTGGGATTGACCTCAAAAATGCAACACACCTTCTGAGGCAGACAGAATAGTCATAATCTCATGTAATGCCCTTTGAAAACAATGTCAATCATTATATTTAATCTACTGCCCAATGATTTGGACCCTTAAACATTAAAGCTGTGCTCATCTGGGAATTTATGATCCCTCTTTCTCCTGGCTGGGTCCCCTGCTACTTGCTCACATTTCCTAAAAACCATCAGCTCTGTCATTTGAACAGAGCTTTGCCTAAAATCAGAGGCAAAGCCCATTTTCCTAACTAAGGGTAAAATGCTGAATAAGATTTTCAGATTTTTCCCTCTGCAAATACAATGTTTTCAGCCAGTCCCTTATGACCGGAAAGGAAGCTCGGAGTTGACCACATTTCAGCTGTTTGTTTTCATTTACTCTCCAGCTCTCTGGCATGACAGTAAAGAGCGTGCCCCAGTAACAAGCTTTCGGACTGACATCTAACTTCCTCATAGAGCACACAGTGATTCCAGCAAATCTTCTGGGACCCCTAAACTTTGTCTCCTGATGTCAAATGCCCAGTTCCTGATGGGAGTTTCACTTTCTTCAGAAAAGATTAAGTCTCTACATGTGTTGCTTTCAGGTTCTATCTCACTGATTTACTGAAAAAAAACCCCATTTCTCTTAACACAACATTCTGGGGTTATTAAATCTTGTCCCTGATAATGGAGGCTCCACATAATTGTTGTATAAGTTCACTGATTTTTAAAACAGTTAATTGCTATAAAGGTGTATCTACAAATGTTTGGGATTTTCTAAATTTTATTTTAAAACTTATAAAAATTCAGAGATCTGTGCCCATTTATACTGAAGACAACACAAGCTTTCCAGTAACTAAAGCAAGAATAGAAAAGCAGCTCTGATTTCTAATCCCCCAATCCCTGACATGTATAATTGTTTTGGTTCCTTATAACTGTGAACTATTTTGCTTAATTATCACTTCTTGTCTCAGTATACTCATACATAATAGAATTGTAACAAATGGTGCTGTTTTCACAAGTCTAGACAAATCCCTGGTGAAATGGCAATGAACTAAGTTTTTTCTACATATATTTTCAGAGAACATTGTCTTCTCTTGAATGTGGGACATTTCCATAATTTGTCTTTATTTTAAAAGTGTCTCTTTATACCCCTCTAGAGAAGAATAAAAAATCAGTTTTATCTCTGGATTTGAATATTTAGAAAGAACATTAAAGAAATGAACATTTTTTTTCCAGAAGTCTAGAAGATCTACAATTTACAGAAACTCTAGACTGCCGAAAGTCTGTGCATCTCAGCAGAATAAATTGCATTTCACAATAGCACCATCTACTGGGAGATGACCACGACAGCGAAGCACACGGGGGTTCTCTTTTGCAATTAAACGTATGATTACTAATATCCAATGCCTTCCCCAAATGGCAATAAAAATTAGATCTGGAAAAGTAACTGAAGGAACCAGGGAGCTGATAATGAGAGAATATCACTGAGACTTTCACGTGGAAATTCTTTGGAATACAGCAAGGGCTAATTATTACTATTTGGCTTTACACTTCCTTACTGCAACATTGAAAGGAACGCGAGGAAATCTGAAGTCTTGACTTGGATTTCACGTAGCACACACTTCATTCAGACAAAACGAGAGAAATTCCTTATTTCAGAAGTGTGAAATCTACTTGTTGTTTTACATTATGACTGTGGTCTCTGATACCATCTCTCAAACTTCCTCTGTTCCAGAAACGTGCGTAAGTAACTGAGTCTACACCTTGAGGATGTTTTTAACTGCTTTCTTCTGCTGGGTTAACAAATTCCTCAGCTTAGAAGCAGACACCACAGACTGTGTTGCTATCACAGAGTGTGCTTTATCTGGCAACATACCAGAACTTCCACTTGTTTTGCTTAACATCCAGCGTTTCTGGATACAGCAGAAAAACAGCCTTGAGCTCTACAGTAATATTCATCGCAGAGTATGGACAGTGCCAGAGGAAAGGTCAGAACCTTCTGGCTGGAGAGGGAATTAATTATGGAAATACTTTTCCTTCTCTACATTCCCACTGTTTTTCTATTGTTAGATGATTCTTACAGCATTATTCTACATCAGTTTCATGAGTCAAATTCAGTTGGCAATCACTCAACAAGCTGATCCAAGTTGACAGAAAATCTTTCAGCAGATTTTACACAAACCAAGAATAATTTTTCTGCTTCCTGATCTGCAGTGGTTGTCCACACAGAGCCATTGCTGCTACTGATAACTTCTGGTTAGGATCCACAAAGGGGAAGATATTCCTCAGAGTATAAAACCAGAAGTTTGAAAAGTGCTGAAAACCCAGGCATAGTCCTGACAGGTTTCTCATTTATTCCACACTTTTTAAATTGTGTGTTAAGTATTCAAAGTTTTGGGGTTTTTTTAAAAAAAGTTCATTTTTGTCAGAAGTTAGGAAGTAGAAGTTGTTAAAATTACATCTCTGAGTTTGTAAAGAGGCTGATTAAGAGCATATTCTGTATTTTTCGATCTGTAGTTTCTCAGAGCAATTCCTGAACACATTTGTCTAGAACACTTTTCAGACAGTGATATCAGAATTTCTCCCAAGAGAAACACATTAGTAACCTCAACTCTTTTGTGTCTCATCAAACTTTTTCTTTTTCCTTTTTCTAGCGGGAAGAGGGTGAAGGGGGCAGAAGTACCATTTTGAAATATGTCAACCTTAGGGGATTTGGAAGTTGTTAGGCTAATCAAATTTGGTACCGTGCTGACATGTTTCGTGCAATTTGCAGTTCATTGAAAACTGTTTACCACATGAAAATTCTCATCCAGAACCTGAGGATCACTGCAAGAATTTTAAAGCTATCTTAAATATGCATACAGAAAAAGATCCCTTCCTCTTCTCTTACTTGTCCTCTAGAAAAAGTCTTCTCACAATCAATTACCAAGCAGTTAAAATAAACAGCAGACTTGCCACCACAGGCATTTTGAGTAGGAGTGTAAAAATACGGTATTCTGTGATGATCTAGCCATAGCAGTAAAACCTTTTTGCAGAAAAAACAGAAGGGCTTAATTTAATTCATCGCGAGACATAACTGTCAGTATATGGTGATTTCTAGCAAAGCCTTCTGCAGACATCTAGTGTAGCAGATGCTCTTTCAGAATGGAGGATCTCTCAGGATGAGAAAATGGGACTGGGAACAACTTTTATAATTCTGCTGAAACATGCAACTTTCCCTAGAAGCCTGTGATAGTACAGATACGGTGTGAAGCCTTCACAGCCTTACTACAGAATGCTATCTACCTCACACTATTTTTATTTTCAAGTCAAAGGATTGACCTTGTGAATGAAAGCTCAGTTTGGCTTTTATTCTCTTTCACCTGCTTGCTTGAGGCAGAATATTGTCACAGCACCAAGTGATACACATCTCCCTTTCAGACTTTCTAACTTGTTTTGTCTGGATGACTTCTGTTCATTACTTTTTGTTAAAATTATTCTGTTATTTTTACATACAGAACCCCATTAATGCCAGGCAGGAAATGTATAAATCTAATAAAAAGGGAATGCCAAGCTCACACAATATCTTACTGATGCCATAGAACTCTATGTATACATGCTGAACTGATCAACATCATTAGTCCAAAGTCAATAGCCAACTCTGCCAGAAAAACAATCAACATGGAAGTAAGCTTCATTTACTAATATCCAGGATACTCATCAAGAGATAAACAAGCTTGTTAGTATTCAAAGTCAGCATTCAAAATCTCACAGAAAGGTAACACCAAGGGCTAATTTTGCCTTTTTTCCCTGTTTCGCATTGACAATATTGCCAACTGGATGCCATATGGACAATATAGATGCTATTCTTGCTAAAGGGCAAAATAAGACAGTAATGTTTTGTCTCAGAGTAATACTACAGGATTTAATGAAGCTCATCCTCTTAAATTTGGGACCCCCCCAGCGCATGTGGAAAAAATACTCCCTTAAAGCCTTTTACAAAGCTGCCATAAAGATGCTATCCACCTTCATATCTGTTGAATAATCATCACAATTATATTCACATAAAATATCAGACACTAAAAGCATTATTCCAAAAGTAGTATTTGAGAATAATAATGCATCATTGGCACTCACAACTCCCATGAATACACACAGTCTGTTGGATTATGCTTTAACAAAATTGCAGTAAATCCTGTCCTTCCTTGCCCTATAGGACTCAGTAGTCAAGTAAAATTTTCTAGAAGCTTCTTTATATCAACCTAACTTAATAATTTATATTATGAACTTCATCACAAGTCTCATTTTCTAACCAGTACATGTTATGACTCCCACAGTGGCAATCTAGCAATTGCAGTCTGGCTTTTATACAAAGTCCATCAGGAAGCCTCAGCTACCAAATCTTACCATAATGATTCAAAAATCTATTTACATAGGAAGCGTCTCTATTAATGTTCTGCAAAGCAACTATAAAAGTTGAAAAACAAACAGATACTTGAGCAAATGAAACCAATAGGCACACGTACTGGACAGTTAAATGAAATGCAGTTCTTCCCCATAATCCTGCATGTACAGTTGAGATAATGGGATGTGTTAAAGAAAACATTATTTCAGTCTCTGCACCCAAATTTCAAGGGGAAAAAATAAGCAAACAAACAAACAAACAAAGAAACAAACGCCAGCCAAACCATAAACCGCCAGAACAAACATGGAGGACACAGATGCACTGAACTACAGGATCTCCACCCAAGGGAAGAGAGAGAGCAGGGTTGCTTGGCAGAGTCCAAACCAGCCAAGAAAGGCACAGATAGTTCTGGAAGAGCCATCCTCACTTCCCAAACAGAAACCAGTGCTGTCAGCTCATCTTCCTTAGACACCCAGGCTGCACACCCTGCGGGAGCCAACCAAGCTCTGTGCAGACGCCATTTAGAGCTGCTGTACGCCAGAGATCCTGGTGGCAACTAAACTTCTCTTTTTTTAAAAGGTACAGACAAATAGCTATTCACCATTACATACACACACAAAAGAAAAAAACAAAACAAAACAAAAAATCAGTTTCTTAGAAAAAGTAAAGCATTCAGTTCCGTGTCAGCCAGCTCCTCAGTGGAAGAGGAAGAGACAGTCGGTGGCTTAATGGCTCCACACACTCTCCATGGACGGCCCACGGCCTCTCCCAGCTTAACGCAGCAGGCCAGGCTGCCCTGCCCGCCCTCAGAACTGGATGTACTCGAATTTTCTGCCACAAGCAGAGCAGCCATGAAAACGCTTCACGCCACGGCCCTCAGCAGCCTCCCAGCAGCTGCCCCGGGCCGGCTGCCCCCTCCTCCTGACAGGAGGGTGAGACACCACGCTCCTTCCACACCTTTCGGGACAACTCTCCATCTCCAACACCTGCCTGCGAGCATCTTAAGGACTTCTTTGTGATTTTCTGACAAAGAACAGCTCCCGCAACAGGAAAAGGCACAAACGCTCCTAGTTCTTCCAACAGCTGCATTTTCACACGTGCATCCTGTCAGCTGCAAAAAAATATTCCAGCCTTGTGGTTAGTTGTCAACATTTCCACATAAGAAACATTTGCACGGGCAGGGTGGAGGTTGTCTTAAAAGAAATTAAAAAAAAAAAAACACCAAAAAACCCAAGGAGGAAGGAAGTTGCATACAAAATTCTGTGAGGAAACTTTGCAATGCTGCGACAGGGCCTAGAGACCTTCAGAGGCATTGCCCGTGTATAGCTGCGAATTACATTCGCTTTGCCCAGAAGATAACAAATAAAGAAATAAAGAATATACACTTGCTGTAACTGTAATTATGTAGCTTTGTAGTACTGATTTGATGATCAAATTAATCATCAGATTGGTTTCTGCAGGGTTACTGTACTCAAGTTTGTGATGAGATTTGTGCCTCCTAGTACAAGATCTCACTTCCTCACAGCTTAATAGTGGAAGTTTGATCAAAACATTTCCCTAACAAGCTGCCCACTACTCTGCCTGCCATAGGCTACATGTAAGTGGAATATGCCAAAAGTCAAGTCTGACTTGTTGGTAGTCAAAATTGTTTCAAGTTGATTTTTTTTTCCCTCTAGAACTGTCATAATTTATCTTAGTTGTGACCAGTTTATTACCATTTTCTATGAAAAAGCATTGCAAGTTTTTCTTACAGATTTATTTGTACGATCCCATAAAAGCAAACTAATTTGACAGACCATCAAGACTCCTGCTGCTACTATTCAAAAGTTTGATAGCTATAAATATTTATTAGCATTTTAAAACATCTATAGATTTGATTTTTTTTTTGGGGGGGGGAGGGGGGAAGCAATTTTTTTAAAAAATTACATTGCTGCTAAAAAACCCAAACCCAGCACCATATACTCCCTTAGCCTCAGGCATATGATCACTGGTATTATCTCTAGCAAATGTGTGACTGATATAAATCAGTTAACGTCATTCACTTCTAAGAACAGTGCAGGAAAAATTATATACAGTCTTGTACAATGCGTGGGAGCATGGTTCTACCACGTAGCTCTCACATGGAAAACTGCTGATTGTGTCAGCTACATCTTAGAACAAATCAACATTTAGTTGTATCTGGAACTGCTGTTTCTCACTCCACAGCTTTTTCTTCTGCCCACTACTCTGCCTGCCATAGGCTAAGTGTAAGTGGAATATGACAGAAGTCTTTAAGAAAACATCAGTAAAGATCAGCACTGTTTCCATATTTAGGACTTCCTCAACCCCCAGAGCCACTCCTCAGAGATCTCATTAGTGTAACTAACTCCACCGGCTGTCTTGCTCAGTATCAAGAAAATGTTTTTTCTCACAGTTCTGCTCTTTTCCTATGGTAAGCCAAGGACATACTTATTGCATATTACAGATCTTTCTAAACAAGAAGCATTGTTTCTTGTCTGAAAGCTTTTTTTTCTTCTCTTAGTTGAAATGTCTCAGCAGATTCAGAAAACTACTGCAAGTGGCAAAGGTAGGTTCACTTTTTTTGCTTTTTGGGTATGTGTCGAAAGCGACTGTTAACAAAAAACCAGGGGAGGGACTTAAAAAATGTCAAAAAACTTCATGTAAAGTTAAAGCTTTTGCCCATGTCTGTGCAGTGAGGCAGTTTACGTGTCTCTTTGCTGACTTGTAGGTAGTCAAAATTGCTTCAAGTTGATTTTTCTTCCCTCTAGAACTGTCATAATTTATCTTAGTTGTGACCAGTTTATTACCATTTTCTATGAAAAAGCATTGCAAGTTTTTCTTACAGATTTATTTGTACGATCCCATAAAAGCAAACTAATTTGACAGACCATCAAGGCTCCTGCTGCTACTATTCAAAAGTTTGATCTACTTACATAAGGTTAATTCTGCCTGTTTACATATGGCCACAAATAAAATACTACTTTTACTTTCAGGGTCATATGCTACCCCTCAACTAGAATATAAGGTTACTTTCTTCTACAATTAATACCCCATAATATTTATATTCCAATTTTATACTTCTATTATTTTCATTACTGCTGTAGTTCAAAAGTGGTTTTGTTCATTCATCTGGATACATCTGTTGGTTCTATGTGTATATGCTGCTCTCTTTTGCATGATGTGCATTTTTCATTGAGTGAAACTGCATTCTGATTTTGAAAAATACAAAGTTGTGTCGCCCATTACCAGAGGTGGGGAAAGATATAAACCCCTATTTCAACAGAAATAAGGATAGCCTAGTCCACAACATATTTTAGGAAAAATATGAGTTTCTTGCATGATAGATGAAGTGAACTCACTCAGAAGTTTCTTCTTTACAGAGGTGCTGTCCAATCCCAAGCTCACAGTTGTTCAGGGGACTCTGAATGTCGTGATGAACCAGAATGTGACCCTCTCCTGCCACTCAGACTCTGGATCTCCACCTGTCAGATACACGTTGTTTAAACACAGTCAGAAGGTATCCACTTCAAATAGCTCAGACTTAACCCTTGGTTTATTTAACTTGACTATCAACTCTGCCAGTGACTTGGGTGAATACAAATGCAAAGCTGAGAATAACATCACCAGTGGTGGAAAATACAGCAACAGTCTCAACTTCACCCTTATAGGTATGTCTTGCTGTACACCTTCTCAGCACATTTTATTTTAGGGGCACATAGCCATGTCTGATGCAATGTATCTGCAGCAGAAGGAGTCAGGGTTTGGTTTGCAGCAGGTAGTTTTGGACTGCCCTGACTGCAGAGCTGAACTTCACAGCACGTGGCTGTTATTACCTTAGGACTCAGCAGTGCCAGTCTGATCTGACTCACTGAGCCCTCCATCCTTGATGTCCCTCTCATTTACCAATGACGCCGCTTAACTCCAAGTCTTGCTTTGGAACTTGTCCTGTACTCAGTGATGCAGTCTGTTCAGTTTTCTTTTCACAGAGCCAATTTCCAAACCAGTGCTGAGCTCACCCAGCTCTCAAGCAAAGAAAGGCCAGAATGTGACCCTGTCCTGTCTCTCAGAGAACGGCTCTCTTCCCATCACATACAAATTCTTCAAAGGAAAACAAAGCATCTCTCCCCCAGTGAAGATTCAGAAGAGGGAAGCAGCTGTGATTTTTCTATTTATCAATTCCACTAGTGACTTTGGAACCTATAAATGTAAAGCTGAAAATAGCTTTTACAATTACACAAAATACAGCAACAGTTTCAACTTTACACTAGCAGGTATGCACGCGTGAAAGAGTTTACCGGTGGATAAACAGGAACCAGGCAAAATTCAGACTGTTTTAACAATGCAAGGGGTTTTTTTAGCCAGAAATTTTGTTCCTGCAACGTAATGTTCAAAATATAATTTTTTACAATAAAAAAATAATTAGAGTTTTAAAAATTAATGCAAAAAGATAGAATTCCATGCAGCATAATAGAAGTAGTTGAAGTGACTATAAAGGATGACTGTTAAAGTGTCACTTTTCCAAGAGATCCCTGGTCCACCTTGGGGAGAATCTAGTTTCCTTTTTCCCTCTGGTCCTACAAAAGGGAGAGTCTTCTGGCACCAGCAAGCTCCCTTCCTTCTGCTGTGACAGTGTGCACATAGGACTCTCCTGAGTAGTTACGTTAACCACAGTTAATCCAAAACTAAAAGAAATGCAAAGTCTTGATTTTAATTTGCAGAAAATACTTAAGAGTATGAAACAACATTTCACTGTATAAACATATTTTTTTTTTCTTTTTGGCAGAAGAGAGAAGCCATTCTCAACCCCTGATAATTTCTCTAGTGCTGATCTTGATACTCTTTGTGATAGGATTTGCTCTGGCAATTCCACTTTTCATAATTCCTTCATATAAAGCAAGTGAGTTATTTGAATGTCCGTTTCCTTTTCCAGATGTGCTCATTTATGTTGTCAATACATTTTAGCGTGTAAACATCATGTTACAGGTAGAGTTGTGCTCTCAGTATTTTAAGGTGTTGTCAAGTCTCCTCTTAAACAACACAGGCAACTTAACAAGACATGGACAAGGCAAAATCTCTGAGCTAAGTTTTAGATGGCAGGTCTGGGATGAGGGAAGCAAAGCAAGGAATTGGACCTCATTGTTCTTAGCAAAGAAAGGAAATTCTATTAAAAATGCCCTCGCTTAAGGAGTAATTTTTATAATTAAAATAACATTATCTGAGATCTCCACGTATTCAAAAACATATCACAGAGCTGTTTATTTCCTTCCAAGAAGAACTGATATATGGATATAGGCATGTGTTTGTTTTTCTTTTACAATTTGCAGAAAAATTTAAGTCTACTAGGTCCACAACTGGCCCTACTTCAACAATGAACACAGAAGACACTGAAAACTTCGTCATATACGCAGAGATTGGTAAGTTCATGTTGCCCTCCCTGCAGTCATGAACCTTACTTGTGAGAGTTTGGTTGAAGAAAGCTATTATATTATTTGTAGCTAGTACGGGCAAATTTCTTGAGGTAGAGGACACCTACTACTACTCAGTAAAGTGAGCTGACACTCCTACTGACCATGCCTGGCAGAGGCATTATTTGAAGTCCCTCGGGATCCACATCTGGCACTACCTGTCAGCTGTGCAGCCAAAACTGCAGCTACTTAAATGAACTGAAGTTCAATACAAAAATTTACTGTAAACAGATGTAAAATTAAGAATTGCATTTGGCAATTCATAGTTAGGATTGAAATTGCCATTAGAGAAGAAAATTAAAAGTAAGTAGACAAGAGGTGCAACGCCCATTTACTAAAAGCGGCCTATATGCCTGCTGTAGAAAAAGAAAACTTACATAGCTCCTGCATTCTGTTCAAAATTTTTCAGTACAAAATAGCTCTTTATTCAATGTTTCTTAACTCTGACAAGATGCAAAGTCAGTTCAAATTGAAATTATAAAGTAATGCTAGACAACAAAGCAACTGACCTATGTTAAGACATCATACTACTACAGTTGCAGAAAATTCACAATAATGAAGACATTACATGAAAGCCATGATGCTATTATCTAGTAGTTTTCTTCATTTGCCTTATACATGAAGGTATTTTCAAAGGAAAAAGAAACATCCAAAACAAACCAACAGCAAATGTATTGTTTCCTGTTTCTAAATATCAAAAAGGGAATCATTCTCTCTGAACAAATCTGCCTTCCTGTTGATATAGTAGACAGAATTCTAGCTGCTCTGCTGGGTTAACTCAGTGCTCTGTGCAGCTGCTCATGCCAGACAGCAATCAGCTTTCTGCCCACATAGCCTGCAAGGACAGCGACAATAGCTCTGGTAAGGCCCATGGTAGATTTATATTCAATATTGAATCTTGCTGGTTTGGTTCAAGATTATTAAAAAAATAATAATATAAAAAAATCTGGTCAGTCTCTAGTAATTGATTTAACTGCTGTTCCTCATCTTTACTCCAGAGCCTGTTAAACCAGAAGAAGAATACATCAACTTTTCTGTTTTTAGAAGAGAAGATGAAAAAGGTGAAAATCTCGAGCTATATATATATTGGAACATCTGATGCACAGAAATATGAGGGAGGAAAGATTTAGATAGTAACAGTTACATACTGAAATTGCTTACTTACTACGGAGAAATTTAAATAACTTTAAGACTTTTTTGAGGGGGGAAAAAAAAAGGGGGGGGGGGAAGCAAACAAAAAATCCCAAATAAAAACCCTATTAACATACTATGACCCAAAAATTCAACCCAAATTCATTCTGGACCCATGCAGGAGATGTTATTAGTGGTCAGGCTGCTGATTGTATATTAATTCTTCTGTTGTGTATCCATATGAAAAAAAAAAAGGAATTATGTTATTCTGGCTTTTAGCAGAAAAGACAGCATGTTCTACAGTCTATTCAAAGGTCTTCATCAGAGACTGAGTACAAGGTAAGATCTCTTTTGTGATTAAATTCATCATGTATTTTTAAATAATTTTTCAATCCTCAGATGTGATAAGTACCACCAAGTCTGCACAGAAAGAGATGACATTTAGATTCTAGTTTCCTGGGCTAATTCTTTTGTAGGCAGACAATATAGCTTGTTCTCTACTAGCAAGCAAAATCCCCAAATCATAATCTCTAAGGAATGCAACTTAGAAGAAAAAGAAGAACGGATAAAAATTGGAATTAACAAAGACACAAATAGCAATTCCATTAGACAAACAGCAGCTTATTGCCCAAATAGCACCATAAAAACCGAAATAAAACAAAACAATGTAATCACTGTCAGGCAAGACCTTGCTGGACACCATATATAGTCCAGCATTATATGCATCTGATTAATAAACAGAAAGGAATAAATTATAAAAAGCTTTCACCCAGAACCAAGTTCCTGTACATTTAACAACTCTCCTGAAGTAGAAAGTGGATAGTATGCAAACAATGCAGATTTGGCCTCTGTACCTGCTGTCACCTAGCAGCAATTTCTCAGTTCAACATTACTTCAGCTCTCAGAGTAGGGATAAGGATGCTAAAATCAGCTTTTGGGACAGTTAACTCCAAAACAAATTCTGCATTCTGCTACAGGCTGTTTCTTGGATGTTTCTGGGTTTAGTATCATTCCATAGACAGCTTACAAAGAATTCCATGAGTTCAGTAAGTCACACCCCATGCTAACCCTGCATTATATCTAAATTACACTACGCAGGAATTAGTATTATTTAGTGTCTAGCAGTTACAAATAACCCACTGAGAATTAAATAAGCACCATGTTAATAGAAGAAATTTTTAAGGAAAGTTTTGATGCTTCATTACAACTATCCACAGCCACATGCCTTGTTGCATACACACCTTAAAGCACTTAATGCAGACATTTAACAAGCTGTACATGCATAGAAAATCTACAGAAAAACAGAATCACTCAATTTTGGATCTATGCAAACTCTTGTATCTGATTTGGACTACACTACTTAGGTATAGGATTAAATATGATCACACATCAGTCTTTTTCCACCACTTTCTATGTACAGACATTTTTTGCCCAGAAAAAAGCTTGTCAAAAGCTGTTTACATTTATTTTGATTTCCTCTTACTCTTGATAATGTCTTTATGATTTTTTATATTTACCAAGTGCAAGATGAAGTAGCTTAAATGTTGAAGAACCAAGGCCACGTGATTAAAGTACATTCCTACAAACAGACAGTAGAAAGATTCTTACTGATGTTATTAAAACATTTAAAATTCAAAAGTCTTGTATATAAAATACCATTTCCCAGCAGAGATGGTAATTGTGTCAGCCATACACAGATGAAAGATTAATTTTTACGTTAGGATGGAGTATTTTCAGTAAGAGAGTAAAACTAAAGACACAAAAGAGAATATGGTTAGCCCTGCTAATGAGGGACAAGTTTCTCTTCCCTCTTTTCAAGGTAACCTGGAAGACCCAGGTGGTCTAGATTTGAGGGAAAACAGATGCACCACCAAGTTTTACCAGAACTATCTGCAGATAAACCACTGAGTCCACAACACCATAGAAGCCAGTTTAGGCACAGATGTTTAAGAAATTGCTTTTATTCAATTAATTAAGTTTACACATTTTTTGCTGATGTTACATACTTAGTTAAAAAGTCCTTCAGCCTAGAAATGTGCATCATTTCCTTCATGGTGGTGTCTCTGCTTCTCAGCTGGACCACTCCACTCTCTAGAGTGGCATCAGTTATCAAGACCATGAAGAGAACACTCATCTCATCGTACCTGCAAAGAAAAGAGCACACCTTTCACTGCTTTTGGTGTATGAAAAATCCAGATAAGTTACATACAAATGACCATAAGCTGGAAATATTTATTTTTACTATACTGCACTTGAGGCCAGTGTGAAGATACCAGTTTTCTTGCTTCCCTGACTACATTTCTTTAAATTATTTAGTTACTTTAGTATATAAGAATGTTGCTGGTGACCTATTAAAAGAGTATTTTTATAGAAGCAGAATATATCTTTCTTCTGTTAATAGCCAGACTTACTTCAAAGACTACCACACAGAACAAACAGTTGTATTTATTTTCTCTCAGGAAAAAATATTCATCAATTTGCTCAAGATGCATTGACATGAGCAGCAATATGCTCAAAACTCACTCCTGATCAACAAATCACGTATGAAGCCCTCACCTGGAACAGTAGTTTTTATCTGCACAAGTAATTCCATCACATACACTAATGGCAATGGTTCCAGACTTGGAAGAACTTTTAAGACAGACACAGTGTGCTATTTGAAATAGTACTTAAGAAAGAAACTCAGAACCAGTCCAGATGCAAAAATGGAGGATGATGGTGGGAAACAGTTCTGCAAGCTTATGACTTATCTGAAGAAATTTATTTTCAATAAGAGAGTCTCTAAAAGGCACTTCACAGAGCTCCAGAGACACAACAATAACATGTGAGAGGCTTATACTTCACTTAATTTTAAAAATTAACTATCTGACATTGCTCTTCATAACAGAACTAACAGAATCCAAGTTTATGGTTTGGGATACATGCCTTCAGGCATGTGGTTACTGCACTCGATGACTTCTTACTGAAAACAGACATATTTTCACTAGTCCACAGAAAGTCATCTTTCAACTTCATAGTTTAATTTACAAAAGACTGTTTCTCCTTACTTTGTATAAAGCTGATCCAGAGATACCTGCACGGTTTCAAGATAACCCGGCCATACAGAAATTCTATTTTCTGACAGTTCATTGAACAATCCTTGACAAACCTGTGGTTTTTTAAAAAACAAAATGTAAAGTCAGACTTTGAGGGTTTTAAATCCATTACAACTCTATGGTGTGTTTGGTATTAGCATTCCTAGCTGGTGTTAATTTTCTGGCTGAAACAATCTCCAAGTAGAAAGCAGCCTGGCAATTAAATCTCCATTTCTATTCAAAACCATGCCAGTGTAAGTTTCCTCCCTTCTCTGCAGACTAGCTTAATGACTGACTTAAATAAAATTTTTTAAAAATCCTTCTGAAGATGTGACCGAAGATAATTCTGGAAGATTAAGAAGCTGAGAGGGATTGTGTTATTTATTTTCCTTAATTTTGCATGGAACAAGTCTACTACCCACTGTCTGCAGTGCACTTCTTTGGCTGTGACTCACAAGCCACACAGCGGAAGCACTATGAAATCTGTACAACCATCAGTCTCTGAGAATCAAAGTAGCAGCATGATTTTCCCCAGCGTAAACCGTGTCTGATTGTAACAGAAAGCTACATGGAAAGTCAATGCTCAAAATTAAAATATTTTCTTACAACATACCTGTCTCAGCTCTGTTGTTGGACCTTTTCCTACATCCAAGGCCACTTTAAGAGGTGCTAAACAAGGATGAAGCTTAAGTACCTAATAATTTTACAAAGAGTAACAAATTACTAAATGTATTTAGTGTGAAATTCTAAACAGATCTGGGAAATATTATTTTTTTTTTCATTGAAATTACTGTTCTAAACATGCAAAAATTTTCTCATAGCAGAAAATTCTGAATTAGAAGCAAGGTGTATTTTATATAACTAACACAGGCACTAGCTAGGTTAGTGTGGCAGAAATGTCTCCATTCTGACTGAGCCCAAGAAAAGAGATGAAGTTTTGTTAGCAGAGTTCAATCACCTTTAATGGAGCCAGAGTGATGAGAGACAGCCCAGCAGACTGTTCCCATCCAGTCTACTGCCTGTTCTTACAGATCAAATGGCTGTTCTGATTAACAAGTGCTGTCTGAAAGCTGGCATGCTAACTCCAGAAAACCAGGGTAAAAGTGGGAACAAATGATGGTCCTTGGGGAAATGCCCCACTGCCACCTGCAACGCACTTTTTCTACTCTTCTCAGCAACCTTCAAATGCTGCCGGAAGAAACAAACTCCTCTTGCCCACACACAGCAGTTATATTTCAATTCCTCTTAACCCCTTCATCACCTGCATGGCAAGAACCTACCTTCTCAGCAGAACAGGAAAGGTGACTGCAAAATGAGACAAAAATCGCTTGTGTGGGTGAGAACTGCAGAAGCAGCCCAAGGGGCCAGCCAGCCTATTGCTGCCCGTGAGAAGGGAGCAGAGGATGGAAATGGGGAAAAAGGAGGTACTTCCATGCTTGGAAACATTGTCTGTGGGTTCTGTACTTAGACCTGCCCCTGCCTTCCATCATCCATTCTTCCTCATACTTTCTACAGAAAGTTACCTTTCTCTGTGAGTTTTTCTTTTTTGTTAGTGGATTCTCAGCTAGCTGTAGAGAATCAAAGAGATACGCTAACGCTCCTCGGTCCAGATTTCCACTCACAGACAGAACATGAGGAATAACATTCTTCCTTCCATCTCGGCCCTGAAGAAAAAAAAAGACCACCACAAAGGGATACCTCAAAATACTGTCTTCAAAGGGCCTTTTGTTTACTTCAAAGGTATAATAAGGTATTGAGCTCAAGCACCCTTATTACATTTAAAATACAACTGTAGATTTATAAGATACCAGTCATCTTAAAAGTGTAACAGCAACTAGATAAGGTTGAAACACTGGGGAAAGCACAAGATGAGAGGCAGATGGTATTATTTTCTTGTCCTGCCTCTCTGATCATAAATTTAAATCTATGGCAAATCCACTTGAAAATCTGCATTTTCTTTTGGAGGTTTGTAGGTTATTTCCAAGTTATCACAAGGATTTGCCCCCACATTTTGAGAAATCACTACATAAACCACAGTTGTGTAGATTACACGCAGTCTTTTGCCTTTGGTATAGAAATAAGCTGCAAAACCAGGAAACAGACAAAACTGTGATGAGGGGAAGGTTGCAATTTACTGGTAAAATACCCAGTTACTCTCTTTTTATCTGTTCAGTCTGACTTTTCAAACATTGCCATTGACTAGAAGTTTGCCCCTCTCCAATATATTCAGTGGAAAGGATTCTCTCTGGTCCATTCCCCCTTCTGAGTGTGGTAACTTGTGCAGTGTTTGTAATACATTAATCCACATAAACGTCTACATATATGGAACTGGACAAGCTACAAAAAGAAAAAACATTTACAGGTTCTTTTTGATGTGAACTAACACTGCAACACACAGACCGAGTTCATCTCAACATTTACTCACAGATGCAAGTAAAGGCCAAGCAACTGACTACAGCCATCTTATCAATATAGCCCAATTCTAATTTCAAAGCATTAATGCCTTGCAAAAAAAAATCAACCCAAACCACTACTTATCTGCTTTTCACAAGGTCTGACTGCAGAGTATCAATTGTACTGTTTTTACAACAAAACAATAAAAAGATAGTCACATACTAAGCAACTCGACCAGCAAAGAAACTATTCCTCTCACACGTTATCATTTTTATCAAAAAAGATTTTAATACAGTAAAGCTTACAAGTAATTTTGAACTATCCCCTGGATACATCTGTAACAGTTCAGTATCACCAAGGTTCTTCAATGTTTCTATTGTTTCTGTCCCCCAAGGAAAGCTGTAATGTAAATTAAATCCTCTTCTTCCTTCTTCATCCTGAAAGTCACTGCTGCTGAAGTTTGATGGGCCTACTGCAAACTGAAAATTAAAGATATAAGAGGTGATCACTACTGTGCATGCTGTATTAATTACAAAAGACAAGTCTATAGTGCAAGCTGAACTCTGTGATTTTCAGCAAGAGATTTTTATAAATTACAGCCCAAATTTCTTTATTCTTTTACGGCATTTTGATCTCAAATCACAAACACAAAGCATTTGCTGTTCTGCAAGTCACGTTATAAACTACTTAACAGGCTTGTCATAAACTTAAGTAGTTTTTTGGTTTCTCACAAGTATTTCAGTGACAGGCAAGCAACATAACCCCATAAAACCTACCAGGTTGTCTATTCCCCCTCTGAGATAGAAAGGAGCAGGACAAGGCATCCCACTGCTGTTACCTTTCTCCACCATTGGAGCCTCTGGCGTAACCAGTAATCAAGCCACTGTCCTGCAGTTCTGGGAGAGCTAAACCATGCAAGCAAAGACGTGGTCCTTTCGCCTGTTCTTTAAACAATAGCAAGGTCAGCAAGTTAACTCCTTCAAAAATAACAGGGGAAAAAGCAAGAGACAACATTCAAAAATAATCCAAAAGTGAAACAAGTGCAAACAGTTTGTTTAAGTGGGAAAAGGGATTAATCCCTCTATTACTGTACCTTCTAAGGTTTTTGTTGTGTGGTTCACTTTCTGGAATAGAGTGAAAGCACACTCCAATTTGAGCAAGGCCACAAGGCAGTCTTCTGTTCACCAATTCTAAGCAGCTAACATATTGTGCCAAAACACCTGTCAAAAGACAAATTACTGATTTTAGTAGCCACAGGACAAATTTTAATTTTTAAATTCTACTGGCAGTGAATGTAACACATACAATACACGCGCTGTTTAGATGTGCAGTCCCTCTGCTTTGCACAGCTTAGCTCAGCAGCCTGTAACCCGATTTCTCTAAGTAGTCTGACAAGTCTAGTTGGACTTGATGGTCTTAGAGGTCTTTTCCAACGTTAAT